TTTTTTTTTTTTTGTGATTTACTAATGTTGTTTTTATACAGTGTATATCTCCGTGCCAAAGACTTAAAATAGCTCAAGTTCCCTTTTAAAACTTACTGTCATTTGTATTGATATATTATATTTACTTTTTTATATGTAGACTTCTGTAGTATAGTTGAACCAACAGCTTTTTAAAACTAAAATTATCAGTTTTGTGGTGCAAGAATTCTCTATAACAGAGGTAAAATCACATTTGTGTATTCTTTACTAGACAAATTGGTAGACAAATTGGAAGCACAGATATTGTTACAGATAATTCTTATACTTTTTCAATATAATCTTGGATCAGAAAACTCTGTTAAGTCACATGAATTAAAAAAAATAAGTCTATCATTCATACGTGTTAAGTTAAGCAAGTTAATTTTCAATGATATTTAAGCTTTAAAACATTTATGCATTACTAGTAAATTTAAATAGTAGTATCACAGGTGCTGCATGTATATAGCTTGATTTATTTTCTTTCAAGCTCACCAGATATTGTTTTCTGACATGAAATATATAATTGAATTTTGGTTTATACTAATATCAAGACAACTGCTGGAGAGAGAGAATTTTATTACAAACTGCCTTATCAGCATTTATAAACAGGGGTGATGGAAATATGCATGGGGGCATCATCCTCAGAAGTGGGGGCATTTTTATTTTTTGCAGGAAGTTTATCATAAAAGAAAACTATGTGCCATGTACATACTATACATATGTGTACGATACTAAGGAGTAAGAGTACATATGCAAGAATAACCTTATGATCCCCAGGGTGTGGGTTGTTCCTGAGTTTGAATGATTGTTTTTTTTTTTTTTCACCATGACAATTTGCCATTTAAACTATTAATTTTGTACTAATACTCATATGTAAGACAACTATTCTGCCAAGAGTTATAGTCTTGTTGATGAATAAAACCTAAGAAACGTGTATTTTCTAGCATTTACCCTCAAAAAATCCTTCATTTTGCTTAATTCACATGCACATAACTCTGATTAGGAAAATGCTAGAACCAAAATTTAAACTTTGGGTTAATGCCTAACTTCTATACTTAATGTGTGCCAAATTTCAAATGTCTGTGACAATATTAAGGGGATGAAAAATGATAGGGGCAACTTTTGTCTCATTTTTGAAAATGGCGCCTGAAAAAAAGAACAAACATGGTGTTACTAAAACTTGAATAACTTTTGATCTAAATGTGATAGATTAAAAATTTAAATTGATTATTCATACTCAAATGTGTGGCTATCTGTGCACCAAATTTCAAGTCTCTAGCTCACTTAGAAAAATATCATGTGTGCACCCTACCTATAGCTACACAAGGAGGCGTGTCAGACAATTAAGCTGCTAACACAGAATGCAATTTAGTGAGAACCCCCCCCCCCCCCCCCCAAGCTGGTAAAAAGTTTGAAGAAGAATAGAAAGAGCTGATTGTACCTGTGGTGGGATGAAATGAATAAATATACCTTTAACCTTCCCGCTTACCTCTACGTCGCAGCCTCATGTTGCAAACGCGTGTAAAAATATGATGTTAACCTAAGTGCAGAGACAAGTAATATATCAGTAATTTCACTAAATTCACACCATTTAGATTATTTCAGCTTGCTACTTATATTAAAAACATAACTAAAATATATATCATCACATATATTTATTTGCTCTCTATGAAAATAAATATCAGTTGAAAATAATTGAAATTTTACGCGAGTACACACTCGCATCTCTTTAAAGATGGCTGCGCCCAGCTTCGGCTTTTGTACGGTCTGCAAGAACGCTTTACGAAAAATGCCGTCACGTCGGTTATTTTCTTCGCTTTCACATCATACAAGACAGAGAGACTATGCAAAGACCCGACGTACAGGTTAGTAGTCGTAACTTCGACATTTTCTCTTTGTAACAATAGTTTTTAACGTTTCTCGCTGTCCCCATTTGCCCCCGCCATGGCGGCCTTACGCAAGGAAATAGTAATTTGCTTCACTAATGACGTCATTCTCAGGTGAAGTAACTGGTCTCACGGCCCATGATGCACATTTTACAGGGATAATATACAGGCCCGTAGCCGGGGGGGGGGGGGGGGGGGGGGGTCGGGGGGT